TTATGTCAATTTATCACAATGTGATCTCGAACTTACTTTGTTATCTATTCGATTATGATGGTATAAGTTTTCTTCGATCTTTGAATTTCTTAGCTATTAAGTAAACCAATTATACTCTATTGGTATACTTCCACTATGGCCATAGATTCTTGAGTAGACATTCATCAAAGTGCAATATGATAACTCATTTAGTATATAAGGAATGACATATCTTATCTTAGTTATCCACCTATCCTTCTTAGATTCCTAATGTACCAACCAAATCACCCATATGTATCTCATTACCGAGTCCATCGTAATGAATATCAAAGTACATCAATCCTCTAATAAGATAATCATGATATAATTTTTCACTTCTTTTTATCGAGTCCATATTAAGCTTATGTGTGTGACTCAATAGGCTTTTAGTTATGTTAGAAATGTATTAAGAAGTAAAAAATAATTCTTTTGTCTCTCAATACATAAATTAAGACCGACCTCTAGCAAGACATCATGAATATTCAATTATCAAAAAGGATTACTTAATCCATAATAATCTTTCATGAGTATGATTTTCATGTAATTCGATCCTCATATCAATTTATCATAGTGTGATCTCGAACTTATTTTGTTATCTATTCGATTATGATGATATAAGTTTTCATTGATCTCCGAATGTCTTAGCTCTTAAGTAAACAAATCATACTTTATTGGTATACTTCCACTATGACCATAGATTCTTGAGAAGACATTCATCGAAGTGCAATGTGATAACTCCTATAGTAACTCTTATAGTATATAAGGAATGACATGTCTTATCTCGATTATCCACATATCTTTCTTAGATTCATGATATACCCAACAAATCACCCACATGTAACTCATTACCGAGCCTATCGTAATGAATATCAAAGTACATGAATCCTCTAATGAGATACTCATGATAACTTCAAATCAAATGACTACTTGTATCCATCATGTATGAGATTCTCATGGACTTTACCAAATGGGTTTTCATTATGGGTTACATCCAAGTGATATGTTCTTTAATATTATTCACATGAGTGCTTGCTTAGACATCATCATACCAATAGATGTGAGATCTCATACTATTATTCTATAGCAAAAGCATATCTCACACAAGTCTTATCGTATATTGTCAATATCTAATTTTGATAATGCTATGACTTAGGACGTATAATGATTTCATTTAAGAGCATTGGTGTTTGCTTATATCTACCGATCAATCATCAAAGCAATGAACATCATATAGAGTTCTATTTGAATCATTCAAGTTATAAATAATATGAATTAATAAAGAGATTTCTTTATTAATAAATATGCAATAATACAATACTCAAGCCATCCAAATAGATTGGATATTGGGCATCTACACTAACACATAAACATCACATTCTCATCAATCATATCACAAGCCAAAAGCATACTAAATTACACACATCGAGACTAGCACTCACTTTGGATAAACAATTGGAATTAAATCTATTTTTAGACCTCTCAACTTTATCACAAAGCATTGATATCAACTTTATTTCTTCTAAAATACCCGGGATCTTAGAACTTTTTGAGTTTGATACATGATGACATATCTAAATCACACTTCAAATATCATATTTAATACATAGGCATCATATACATTCACAAGCATTCATCCATATGCATTTAAGTTTGATTAAACGTAAGGACAATACAGAGATGTCAAAAACTTACCTAATTAGTCAAGATGACTAAACAATCCTTTAAGAATGTCCAAACCCTCTTTTTAACATAAATGTTGAATCTATCTTTTGTGGTAGTTTGGTTTTGAAAGATGTTGGATTCATTTCTAGTCACTCTAATAAGCTCCTAAGAGTGGAAGAAGGTGACGGAACCTTTTGCAACCCTCTAATGAAGACAAGACAATATTGTCAACTAGAGAAGAAAGGTTTACAATAACAAGTAAAGATTCTCCTTTCTTTTCCTTCTTTGCTTACTCTATCAAAATAGATTAAGGGTTTAAAGGGTATTTGGAGGTAAATCCACTCACCATTGATTGAAATCATCACCATCTTGCCTTGATAGAAATTTGGGATGAGGGTTTTCAAATGATTTTGGGTTTCAAGATTTAGTGAAACTTTGATAAAAAGGGTTTTTTACCCAACGGGCTTGAAGTCTGCTATGGTCGGCGGCGTTTGTGAGTTTTTTAAGGGCTATGGATCACTAGTTTTAGAGATGAAGAGAAGGTGTTTCACAATTGTGTTGAAGCTATTTAACCGGTGGGGCTTGGGTTGAAAATGAGCTATGATCCGTGATAATAAGAGGGCTATTTGGAGCTAGCATGTTTGAAGCTATGAAAGAGATGACCTACAAGAATAGGAGTTGGAAGCTATGGTTGACGGGTTTGGAGCTTTAGGGAGCTATGGATGGCGACTTGGTAGGTCTAAATAAGCCATAACTGCCAAGTTTTTGTTTTTAGAAAGCCTTGGCCAACGACAATAAGGAGCTTTTAAGGTTACGGTTCGTTGGCGACTTTGATTTTCGAAATCTATCGCCAACGAGTAATATGGAGCTTTATGACATTATTGCCAATAGTTTTGGAGAATTTAGGTGTTGAGATTGTGTTTTGATTGATGGGAGTGGAGGATGATAATGGGTGTAAACAATAATGATGATCTTAAAGGGTTTTCGCTATTTTGGAGAGAATGGTTATTCCAAGATTCTTGTTGTGAAAGAAATGTTGGCTCTCCCCTCCCTCTAGGTTGAAGAAGAAAGGAAAATGGCTCCCCTATTGAAAAGAGAAAAGGAGAGGCTTTTATAATGGGTTTTTTTTTGTAGGATTTTGGGTAAAAACTCAATTTGGCCTTTCATTTCTCCTTTTTTTTTTTTTTTTCTCAATTCCAAACCTTATCTCTTTATTTTCTCTCTAAACATACTTTCAATTGAAATTCTTTTCAATTAAACCTCAAATTAATTTTTTTGGTTCTAGTTTCCTATATTTTTAAAATTTGACCCAAATCCAATCTTTTCTATTTATGTCCTTTTTTTTTTTTTTTTTTTTTTGCTTAAAATTCAAAAATAAATGGAGTATGAATTTGAGTGTTAACAATTTAAAATATTTATTTTGGACGTCAATAAAATTTCAATCCAAAATAGTTATAAATCGATCAATCACTTTAATCTACATTTATTAATAAATTTCATATTATATTGTTTAATCTATTCTTCTTCTTCTTTATATATATACTTCTACATATTAGAGTAATCAATAAATTAGTCCCTCTAGTTTCAAGAAACAAATTAATTAATTCTCATCATTTCAAAAACTAGTATTTAGTCCTTTAATCAAGTATTGACTATGTTTAATTTAATATTATTTTTATTCCATTAAATCTCTTATTCTCTTATCATTTTTTTTCATTTTTTTCTTTTTTTATTTCTCAAAAGAAAATCAAAATAAATTAAAAAATAGTAAAAATGACTAAATTATGAGTAAATTTCAAAACATAAGGACTAAATATTTAGTTTTTCAAATGAGAGAGACTAATTAATTTATTTTTCAAAACTAGAGGGACTAATTTATAATTCACGCCTACATGTTGCTATATCATAATTGTTTGTAAGAATATAATTCCAATAGCTTGTTTTTGCAGTCAACTAAGCAAAAAAAATTTATGCAGTCCAACTTGATACAGAGTTCTTAATTCTTTTGGCGCAAAACGTTGTGACGTATTAATCAAGATACGCTCAGGGATTCTTGGTATAAGGAAACCGGATTTGGAATCCGGGTGGTTGCACCTAACTTGATTGATCATGTGAAGGATGGTTGATTTGTCTGTTGTGATAAATTATTCACACTCTTTTTTTATGTGGGAACGCTGGGCCAAACTGGTCTTTCTTCATTGGACTGCTGTGAAATATTTTAGCAACTGAAAAAAATGTCCAATCAGTCTCAAATTCATTGCCTTGATGGACGAAACGGCATCATCCTGATGCAAACCTTTATTCATCGTCAACTAATATAACACTAGATGATTAATTGCCGCCAAAGCTCAATTTTTCTCACGTGTTCAATTGACCAACAATTTCTGTTGTAATTGATAAATTTTGAGACAAATGAAGCCAATTGGTAACACCGCCGTTCTCCAGAAGTTTTATGCATCATTTGGAATCAAATTTCCTCCTGTATTTACCAAAACTAACTCGGCCTACTTATTTTCAATTATGGGGCAAATTTACCAGAAATGAATCATCGGAGGGAAATCGACTCTTCACCACATACTGCGGACCAAACAGAGGCTACCTCATAAAATATACAATCCGCGATCCGTCAAATGCGAAGGAGCGAGTAAATTAGATGATCTTCTACGATAAACTAAAGACCATCACGGGTTTACTGAGAACAATCAATAATTATCATCAAGATCCAGAACCATGACTTGCTACTTGCTGCAAGCCTACCTTATTACTCTTCTGTTCCTCGAGAAAATACGTACTTTAATACATATGCAGGAGGCCCCGTCGTAAAAGACAATCCATTTCACAGCTCAAAGTAAAGTATTTGAAGAAAAATGCTTCCATTTTTCAAACAAAATATTTACTGATCCCTTATTATCCGGCACCATCTACAGGGCACCTTATCAAGGCCACACGAGCTAAAAACAAAACCAAGCTATCCTTGCGCCTCACTGCAATAAATCTGCTTGAGGTTCAGATTTTCGTCTCATTTGGATCCAGCGACCAAAAGTAGATTGACAAGAAAAAGGATGATACAAGTTCCACGAGGGCACATATTCCACAGTACAACAAATCCTATGCAGTACATACAAAGACACAGTATATGGTCAATATACTGAATACACAACCAGAAACGCTAGAAACAACAATCCACATCAATAGTAACAATGCAAACCTAGTTTGCTTATTTAGATTACTGTCATAATCCACACACACACACCCCAAACTGCCATATGCTTATCTGAGAACCAGATAAAGTCACTGGTCTGCCCACCAAATCCTTATTCTTACTGCAGAACTAGGCATTCATGACTCCCAGTAACCATGGCAGGATGGGAGCTATCATTAATAGCATTCACTTCTTCAACAGAGTGATGTTCGACGTTTGCATCCTCAAGCAAGTTCTCAGAATCAGTTCCATTGCCATTACCTTTGTAAGAAATGGCTTCAAAGATGAGACCATTCACTTCTTGGAATCTCTCTTTGGAGAGAGAAACCTCTGCAAGAAGCCTCCAAGCATTCTCTTCTGATGCCTCCTCATAGTCTTTCCTCCTCTTCAACACCATATGGCCACTAATTTCCCACACAGCAGGGTTCACTTGGGTATCAAGAAGCTCGGGACTCACTTCCCCTTGAGCTTGTTTCTCAGCATAACACTGTTCATCCATTAGACAACATTAAACAACGTAAGGCACGAAGTGTAAACTACGCAGTTAAAATATCAATGAGCCAACAAGTCACCTCTATGTTGCTACCATGTTCATTACCTGTGGAAGGAGAAAGATACGGTTTCCACAATCAGCAATAAGCACATTATAAGGTATGTTGTTTTCTTGAAGACAAACGCAGGCATCTGAGACAGTGTTAGATAAATCTTGCAGGGTATTTCCACCCTCAAAGACAAGGCCTCTAACAGGATAATTCACAAGTTCAGAGATTTTAATGCCACCATCCAAAGTAGTTATCTTATTAGTGGGTGCCTTCTCAATCGGAAAAGGCACAGCCAAGTAGTAAGCCTGTTCCATGAAAATTATCAAATTGCCTTTCCATTGTCAAAAGATTCACCAGCTACTTGTAAGGGATATTATAATTCAAGTCAAAAAGTATATAGCTATTTTGATAGTAACCTGAAAGTGAAGGTGATTAATGGTTGCAAAAGCACCCAAGCTATTGTAACCCAATCGGAAGTATGGATTCCCAGCTTCAGCTGCCATGTAAAGAGCAAGCAAGAAGCTATCACGATCAATCCTCTGTGGCAAGCAGTTCAGAACATGTGGGATTAACAGTACATGCCCATATTCAATAGGGCTCACCTGTTAAATTGACACAGCAAGAGCAATTAACCACCATCATACTGCTCAAGAAGAACAAGGGTGTATTACAAGAACAAACAACGCACATTGATGGCAACCATGCTTGGAGAATTCTCAGCATCAATAGGGGCGTCTGGGAGGAACTGAACATCCCCATCTTCACTTGCTCCAAACTGGAAGAGCACCTCATCTTGGCCAACTTTAGTGAAGTTGAATTTGTTTCCATCAAAAGGCTGAAGGACCTTATCAACACGGAATTCAGTTGGCCTCTTCTTCAAGTGACGACCCTCGTTCAGCTGAGCAATAAAACCATACCGGCCCGGTATCACCTAAGGCAACATCACCAAAGATTTGGCATAAATTTCATATCCAATTAAGTAAATTCTAACATATAACTATAACTGACTCAACTTCAAATCACAACCAAACAACAACAATAATAATCATAGTAAATCGAAGAGAAAAGACCTTGGTTTCACAGGCGGTGACATCATAGCGAAAGAGCCCTCTCTGCATACGGTCCTCCCACTAAAAATTCAAACAGGTACAAAATGTAAACATAAAATCGATAACTCAACTGCGAATAGAAAAATAAATAAATAAATAAATTTCAATTCAAATTGTTAAGTAATACTACCTCCCCAAGAAGGAGCGAATCGAGAAACGCAACTGGTGGCTCGTTCTTATCATGTTCAAACACACCCACACTCTTCTTCTCGGCCACAATCCTGTCCACTTTCTTGAAAGCATATAAAGGAAGGCATGCGCCTACCCATGCAGCAAATGTTTCAAAAACATAAATCAAACCAGTTACAAATCAAACGACGCTTCAATTAAAGATCAAAAACTAAGTAGATAAGGGGGAAAAAAGTACCTTGAAGGCAACAATTTTGAAGGCAATTGCGGCCACAGCCCCCTTCGCGGCGAGAACCCTCCTCGCCCTCCTCTTTCTGGTAATTGGAAACAACAGTAGGGACCCTCTTGATCCTTAGCATCATCTTTTCGCTTATTCGAGATCTAATAAATTTTACTTATTCGCTGACTGGCTTTTATTTCAGATTTGACGACAGATAGTACAATAATAATAATAATAGTAATAATACTAAGCTACTACTATCTTAACAAAAGAAGAAGAAACCACCACCAGCAAGAAAGAGGAGATCAGAAGGGCTGCCGCCTTCGGAGGGCAAAGCGCCACGTCCACCGTGCGGCGAAGGGTTGCTGCTCTCAATTAAACAACCCTTACGTCGTACAGCCCGGACATGAATAAGAGGCCGAGTTACTCCGTGTATAGCCGTGATGTCTACAACTTGCCTACCCTGGGTTTTTAACCCCCTATTCTTGAACTCTTTAGAATTATTATAGATCCGAAGGAAACAAAAGAAAAAAAAATCGCTGCTGCTGAAATTAGGATTTGATATTTATTATCAGTGAGAGGAAAGCAGAGGAGAGGAGAGGTAAGGGCAGAAGAGAAGTGGGATGTTGGTTGTGGTTTTCGGGGCGTGAGAGATAAAGAAGAGGAGATGGATAATTATATAGATAAGAGGGGAAGTGGGAATTGTGGTTATGGTTTTGCTGTGAATTGGGGTTGGGTTGGGACTTAGAGGACTTGAACTTGATGTAAGAAGTAAAGAAGTTTTTTTTTTTTTTTTTTTTCGTACTCTACTCACCAATACTCCATCGGGTTGGCCGGAGTGGGACCCACTCAGTCGTCCGAATTGGCACAAATAAATAGCAGGTGCAGGACCACGCAATTCCTCTCTCTCTCTCTCTCTCTCTCAATATTGATTTTCTTGAGGCAGCTTGTTAACCAACCCTCTAAGATTCCAATTAGTTTGGAAAGCAAAAGCTGATGGAAATACGACCCTTTCCCCACGCGCTTTTTCATAAATCCGCTGCTTCTCGTGTGAAATACTAACTACTGTTTGGTTTAACAAACTGAACCATTTTTCAATCCTTCAACATTTGAAGTTTTTCGCATTTTGAACCTTCACGCAAAATGACTAAAATCAATCCTAATCCTACAATTGTACAAAGATATACGCTACCAAGCTGTTAGTACTACTACGGGATGTAACTCATCATTTCTTTACCATATCCATCTTATAATCAAATCTAAATACCTTCTCTTATACTTTCTTTCTACCAAAGTTATAATCGAATTTGACTTCTTATATTAATAAGGTGTAATTAATTGTGCATATGCTCAATATTTTAATTAATTAATTAATTAAGCTAATTTTTATTCTTAAATCATGTTAATTTTTCTTTTTTTAATTTTGACAGAGACTCAAATTACATAACAAATGGTTTGAATTAAAGCCGATATAACTCAACACAAGGTCTTAAGTCATAAAGATAGACACGGATATTCTAATAGGGCAAGTTGTTAGTGTAGGTATCTAAGATCCAATCTATTTTGATAGTTTGATATATTATATAATTGCATTTTCAATATTAATAAAAAAATCTTTTTATTAATTCTTATTATTTAAATTTGATATAATTAAATAAAATTCCATATGATATGCATTGCATTAATGATTGATCAATATATATGAGACAAACATTAATGCACATAAATGATATTATTAAATGTCCCAAGTCAAAGCACTCGTCAAGATTAGATATTGACAATACACGGTAAGATTTGTTAGTGCTTATGCTCTTGCTATAAGACAAGTAGTAGGAGATCTCACACCTACTTAGTATGGTGATGCCAAAGCAAGTACTTAAGTGAATAATGTTAGAGAACATATCACCTGGATATGACTCGCATGAAAACTCATTTGGTATTGTCTATTGAAATCTCATATGATATGGGTACAAGTAGTTCTTTGACTTGAAGTCATCAAGGTTGTCACAAGGTGACATTGGTGGCGGGGTGAAGCTTTTAGGCAAAAATAGGAAAAATGGGCAAATTTGACTAGAGTCGCCACCTACTAGGAAACCCTATGATTGGTATGTTCGATTCCGAATAAGGGGTTTAATATATGTAAAGAAGATTAAAAATCACCATCTTCGTCTTGCCTAAGGCAAGCTGCATTACATACAATATTGATTTGATTTCCGATTTTTTTTATATATGTTGAAAGACAATGCGTATTCTTCAAATATTTCCCCCTATTCGAGTGATTCGAGACTTCACCGATCGGAGACCTTGTCCTCACTCCGTAATGGATGGCTAAAAAAAAGTGATAAATTGCAAAGATAAATAGCATACGTGCAAATGAAACTCAAAATATACAAATAGGCAAACAAACAAAATAGGTAAGTCGATAAAATAGAAAAATAGGCAAATAGGCGAACTAGATAAAATTGACAAGTGGACAAAATTGGCAAATATGCAAAAATAATTAGGCTTGACAAAATGGATAAACAAGCAAATAATGGCAAAATTGACAAAATCGATGAAAATCTACAATTGGGCCAAAATATGGCAAAAATTGGCAATTAGACAAAAATAAGCAAAAATTGACAATTAGGCAAAAATACGCTAAAATTGGCAATTAGGCAAAAATAAGTGAAAATTGACAATTAGGCAAACATTGACAATTCGAGCAAATATAGGCAAACATTGACAATTCGAGCAAAAATCAACAATTTTAGGCAAATATAGGCAAACATCGACAATTAGGGCAAACATAGGCAAAAATCCGCAATGTAGGTATACATAGGCAAAAATTGATAATTTAGGTAAACATAGGCAAAAAAATCAACAATTAGGCTAAAGTTGGCAAAAGGCAAAAATTAACAATTAGGCTAAAATCAACAAAAGGTAAAAAAATCGACAATCGAGCTAAAATTAACAAAAGGCCAAGATTGACAATTAAGCTAAAATCAACAAAATGCAAAACCAACAATTAGACTAAAATCGACGAAAATTGGCAATTGGACTAAGATCGACAAAATTAGTTGTCAAACGTACATATTTGATTGTGTTTGACGAAAACAGTTCACACGATAAGGTTCAAACTTGCTTGATTCAAAGTTGTATTTTTTATAAAACTTTCACATAATTAATTTAGCGTTATTACTAATAAAATGACCCTAAAAACGTGATTTGAACCAACTTATTTTTTTAAAATAAAAAAAGAATGCACCAAAACAACAATAAGCATCAAAACACATACAAGCACTAACAATCATACAATCATCACAAATGCAACCACAACCTAATTAAGACGGACACCGCAATAACTCAATTACATCATACATAAATAATGAATTGGCTTACACAACATAGCCACTTAATTAATTACGTACACAGAGTTAATGTGAATCAAACTTAATACATGTTAAAATAAAAATGAAATAAACCAAAGTTAAAAACAAATTACTATAAATAAAAGGTAGATTAGTCCGTCGAATTAGGATCAACTCGACTCTTTTCAAGCCTAATGAAGACCGATATTTAGTCAACCGGGACAAAAGATGACTAAGATCGACGACGATCGATTTGGAGTGGCCACTAGCTGCAGCACTGCTAGGTGCAAGGTATGGTAGTTGTTGGAAGTGCGTGTACGCGATAAGAGTCGACCGGAGGAGTGGCGTGCTGGAGGGAGCCAACTAGAGGAGTGGCACGGTGAAGGGGCTACTACACGATCTAAGGCATGGGTGTGCGAGGGGGTTATGGTCGTTAGGCATGATGCGCGGGCATCGACGAGCAAGCGTGTAGGGTCGGGGCACTCGGTAGGTACATGCGCGGGCGTGAGAGGTCGGTGTGTTAGCGGGAGGCTACATGCGAGAGGCCTAGAGGGCTTATGATGTGCAAGCATACCATTTGATCGAGGGAAGCCGTGGCATGAGGGAGGGTCGGCTTGTGGCGGCATGGGCGAAGCTAGGGTACGTGGATGGTGAGGTTGGGGCATTAGCCGGTGATGGGAAGGCTTGGGTGAGAGAGAGAGCCGGCGAGGTAGGGGGCTTAGGCGTGTGTGGATTGGTGCGGGCATGCGATCTAACTAGGGGAGAAGCCGTGGTGCCGAGGGAGGTTGGCCAATGGCGGCTTATGCGAGGACGAGGCGTGTGGGCAATAGAGGTTGTGACGTGAGGGTCGGCAGAGATGATGAACAGTAATTAGGGCTTCTTTTTCTTTTCTTTTTTAGAGGAAAAAGGTGCTTTTACACTAGTCTTTTAGGGTTTTTGGCTAAAATTCAGTTTGGCTCTTTATTTTGCAAACCCACTTTATTTTGATACTTTTTTCCTATCCCTTTTAATTGAATCCCCAATTGTATTTTTTTACTCTCTTTACTTTTTTACTTTTTTATTATTATATTTTTTGAGAAAAAATTAGGTGCTAAAAATGGTTATCTTATTAAAGGATTGATGTATTTTGACATTCATTTCGATGGGCTAAGTAAAGAGCTACATGTGGGTGATTCATTGAGTGCATTAAGAATCTAATGGAGATAGGTGGATGATTGAGATAGGACATGTCATTCCTTATATGTTAAAGAAGTTATTATATTACACTTCGATGAATGTCTAATCAATAATTTGTGGCCATAGTGGAAGTATACCAATAGAGTGTAATTGATTTACTTGAGAGCTAAGACATTTAGAGATCGAAGAAAACTTATACGATCATAATTAAATAGACAACATCACGTTCGATATCACGTTGTGATAAATTAACAAGAGAACAAAATTATATGAAAACCATAGTTGTAAAAGGTTATTGTAGATCAAGTAATCCTTATATAAAATTAGGTAATTATGATACCTTGTTAGAGGGAAATCCCGATTTATGTATTGAGAGATAAAATAAGTATCTTTTACTTCTCGATACATTGATAATATATCTAGGAGACTATTGAGTCGGACGTATAAGTTTAAACATTCACACGAAAAAGAAAAACAAAGATTTTGAAAAAGTTTCTTATTTTGGAACTCGGTTTCCAAGTTTGAAAATTAGTTTCCTAAACTAAAAATAAGCTTCTTATTTCAAAAATTAGTTTCTTAATTTAGAAATCAGCTTTTCTAATTCGAAGTCAATTATCTAAAATGAAAATCAGTTTTCTAATTTAGGTTTAATAAAATACAAGGGTAACATAGGAAATTATTTTCTAATATAGGCCTCTCTAAAAATATCCGACCTAATTTATTTGAATGATTCAAATTAATTATTGAATTACTCAGGCCAAATGAGTTTAGGCTAACAACCTTAAGTAAAAGCATGTAAGGTATTTTAAGTGGAGAGATAATTGTGAGCACTAAAGGATAAAGCTCGGGGTTTATAATTATAAGAAAAAATAAAGCCCATAGAAGTTAAAACTCCTTAACCTAAAAGGACTTGTTGTCGCCTATATAAGCGAGAGGAAAGGATAAGTACATATAGAACTAATCTAAGAGAGAAAACTCGTCTCACCAAAAAAAAAAGGAACTCGCCACCCTCTCTATATAAATCACGCTAACAACCCATGACTGATTTTTAGAGAAAAACATACACACGATAGAAAAATTAGAGCTAGCATTTTAGATTTTTTTATGCTTCTAGTATGGGTGTCTAGCTACGTAGATTATCGGTAGAGATCGGACACTTAGACAATTCTATCTACGAATTTGATTATAAACTATAAGAGATAACATCTAATCCATCTTATTTATATATAGTTAGTTAATTCAATGGATGATCTTGGAACTTTAGATGGAAGTGAAATTTTTTTTTATTTGTTCTACACCTTCATAGGATGTATCATCCTTCAATTGATATTATAGCCCTCGTTAAATCTTTAATTGTAATTATGTTAATTTTGATTTACTCTAATAATTGTTGATTTTTGCATTATAAATTTGATAATTTTGATATTTTATAAATATTTAAAATTGATTTTTAGACTAGTGGGAGGATGCTTGTAAGGCCAATGCCCATAGCGGCATCGAGCCAAGCATAGGCCAAGCGCACGTGATCGCGAGACATGGCATTGGGTGGCCATGTGTAATATCTCAAACCTATGAATAAATTAATTAATATATTATAAACATATGTGAAAATTATCTTGCATGCATAGAATAATTGCTCGAGGGGTGCTAAAATATTTGGTGCACTTAGGATAATTTTTTTTATGCTTAGTGAATATTTTATAAGCTTTTCTATGCATTAATAGTACTTTTATGCAAAATAACTACTTTGAGTATTTTAAATGTGTGAAAAAATTATTCTATGAGAATAGAAAAATTTCTATAAGGGTGTAAGAATATTACATGCACTTAAGTGAATTTTTCTATGCTTAGTGAATATTTTCTATGTGAATAGTGCACTTTTATACAAAATAATTATTTTAAGTGTCTAAATGATTGTAGAAAAATTATGTGATTGATGATTGATGAATAAATTACTATAGGAAGTGTATGAATTGATGGTGAAAAGAAATTATTTTTTCAAAGTGTGTTGAATTAATTATATACATAGAAATTTAATTGCATAAGGCTAAGGACTTAATTGCATAAAATTAGGGGTCCAATTGCATAGAATTAAAAGCTTTAGCCCACAAATAGGTTTTCAAATAAATTTAAAGAGGCATAAATATGTTGGAAAACCCTTAAGGAAGGACCAAAAGTAGTTGATTAAAATTGAAGGGACTAAAAGTAAGGATTAAATTGAAAAAATAAGATAAATTAAGGGATTAAAATTGCCATTTTTTGGCCAAATCTTTCCACTTCAATCAGCCACCTTACCCCTACAATTAATGAATGTAATAATTAAATGCACAAATGGATGAATAGAGGGCTAGGATTTAAATAAGAATGGATGATGGAGATTTAACCAAATGAAGGGTTGGGATTAAATGGTGGACCAAAGGTGGAGATTAAACCAAATGAAGGGTGAAGATCAAGTCAAAGCAAGCAAAAGTCTACCCACTTGCACTTATAAATTTCAGCCTAAAGGAAAAGAAAAAAATGTTGAAAAATTGAAAAAAATAAGGCAAACTCTTGTCAAATTTTCCAAGAAAATTACACACCAATTTAATCTAATCACTAAAACCACACTTAAAACACTCCATTAGATCTAAAATCATACTTAAAAGACCAAAAAACCCAAGAAAGAAAAATTAGCAAAGTGGTTGAAACTTAAGGAGGAAAAAGGGGAAGAAGATTTATATGATGAAGGGCTAGAATTTAAATAAGAATGGATGGTCAAGATTTAACCAAATGAAAGGTCGGCATTAAAAGGTGAACTAAGGGTGGAGATTAAACCAAATGAAGGATGAAAATCAAGTCAAAGCAAACAAAAGTATACCCACTTACACCTATAAATTTCAACCTAAAGGAGAAGAAAAAATGTTGAAAAATTGAAAAACGAAAAAGAAGGCAAACTCTTGTAAATTTGTTCAAGAAAATTATATACCAAATTAACCTAAACACTAAAACTACACTTAAAACACTCCATTGGACCTAAAATTATAGTTAGAAGACCAAAAACTCCTGTAACGAAAAATTAGCAAAGTGGTTGAAACTTAAGGAGCAAAAAGGGGGAAGAAGATTTTCAAGGAATATTGAATGTGATGTTACATGGTATTTGTGTTAAATATTGGTCTTGATTAAATTATGTTGATTGGAATGTGGTATATTGAAACATAATAAATTATTATATGCATTTTTATGTTATTGAGATATGAATTTTATTACATTAATGCACATCATTCATAGCATGCACTATAATAATTCTTGAGGTTATGTATTCACATTCAAATCCATATGTATGTCAAGATCATGGAAAGGTTTAAAATCATGAAAATGATTTTTTTCATGATTTTTCAAAAGCAAAGGAAAGGTTTTCATGGCTTTCATGATTTTCATGGTCCTTGACATTTCCTTTATTAAAGGAATTGGTAATGGCCTCGACTAAAGACTTTCTTTGTTGGGAGAATTGGTAATGGTTCCAGCTAACGTAAAATGGCATTTCTCACTAAGGAAAGTGATAATGGCCTTAAGCGTGGGGAAGCTGGTAATGGCCCCACATGAGAAGTGCTTAGGAAATTGAGGGTAGAGCATGTATAGACGTGTACATTTAGATGTTTGGCGTGGTGCGTCCAAAGATAGAAAAGTTTTTTCAAAATGAACATGACATGGATTTCATGAAAAGGAAAATGATTTCAATAGGGAACATAGAAAGGATTTTAAAATGGATTTACTTACAAAAGTGCATTTCACTTACATATATATATGGTATGCATGATTAACTTACTAAGCAATAACTCACTCAATTCTTGTGATGTAGGGGTTAAGAATATAGACTTATGGCAATGTTTTCATTAGAGCTTGTTACCGAGGGACTTCTCTGTCTATCTAACGAGTGTATCTTACATGTGGCTGCAAGTTGGACCTTCTCCATGTTGTCGTGTTACTTGTTCTTGGTATTTTTGTGTATGTTTGGGGTACAACTACTTTGTTCTACATGATAGTCAAGATAATTAATAAATATTTGGTTAGTTAGTAAAATAAGAAAGTAAACTTATAAATAAATAATACTACTTTTGGTGGCCGGTGTAGTACTAAATTGGTTATTATGTAAAAAGAAAAGTAGGTTGTATGTTAACCAATTTTTGACATGTAAATTTTGTAATGAAATATTAGCGTGTAGTTGTATTATCTTAGTTAAATACTTGTATGCTATTGTTGATAATGATATGAGGAATTAAATGGACATGAAATAATAAAGAATCAATGAGAATAAATGGTTTAATAATTTTATAAGAGATGATAATTAATAAAGGAAAAGGGTAGACCATCGATTAATGAGAATTGGTTAGATAAATTTATTCTAACTAATAGAAAAAGAATTTAACAAAATTGAGAGACACAAATATAGTTATTTTAGCTTAAACTCTTAGAAAAAAAGTTAAAACAAAAAAATTTAATAGTGCATTTTAGGTTGAAATTTATAGGGAAAGTTAGACCTATTAGTTATTTAGTAGGCTCCCACAACATAAACTATACCTAATAACACCATAAGAAGGACACGAGTGACTTATGTCTTACATTCACTATAAGGTACAATGATAATATCCTCTCAACTTATTTTAGGTCCTAGGTGGGGGTTGTTATAGA